CCGTCTGCTTCATCAATAATAATATTGATGGAAAGGGATTTAGAGAAATGGACTCGAGACTTAGCGGATGTTTTTGTAGGTCACAGAATGGTCTAAGAAGCTGTGATAGGATCAATGATCAAATTGGTTGGATCAACAGCAACACATTGGCAGAGGTTCTTTTAATACAATATTTTTAATGGATTAAACGGAATGCATTAAAAACATTTGCCAAAGGTCTAGCGATTTGCTTTTCTTACTGTGTGTTTTAACTTGAGATGATTTCTTACAAGTAGGTTAGACATTTGAAAACAGATTTTTGAAGACTGTTCTGAAGGCACAAAATGTATAATTAAGACATTAAAAATTCATAATGTTTAAAATCTAGTTGAAGAGAATGTTTGAAGTAAGCAAAGAATAGAGCATGTAAAAACAAAACGGATCAATATATAGGCACAACTATAGCTATCTTCTATATTTATTATATACCTGGCTTGTACTTGACCTACTGTTTGGGCTGTTCCTAGTAATAGTTACCCTTTAACACTTAAACTGCCTGAAAACATCCTAAATAGGATTCAGAGAGGTGGCGCCTGTCTGAACTATGAATTGCTCCTATAATATGGAATGCTATTCATATAAACAGCAAAACATTTTTCTGTCTCCTGTATATCAGTACATATGAATATGCAAAATATATGAACGATTTCTGTTCCTGCTTTTGTTATGGTATTTGGTGACATATTTAGTTTATCCTGCATTAGTTTATAGACAGTGTAGGTATCATGTTAATGATATTTTTAATATACAGTTAATGAGAATTTGTTATTGTGTGTTGATCATTTATCTATATTAATATCAGTATATTAATTTACAATCCTTCCAAAATAAATATCAATTTAAATAAACAAATCGTTCTATGAAAGTGAATAATAAATTATATTATAAATTAAAGATACTTGTAGACTGTTTTAGTGCCTTGTTATTAAAGGCAATGTTTCTTGCGTGTAAGAAGAAGTTATGTTGTGTTTAATGATAATGTAATTAGCATAAATCTTCAGGAAAATGTTACTCTTTCAGTTAAAGTACCTGTGCATGATTTGCTTTTGTTGTAAAATATCAAACTTTATCCACCCGAATATGCACTCAGATTGATTATTTAGCACTGGTATGTACGGATTCAGATTGATTATTTTTAATTAAAACAAAATCCAAATATCAGTAGTAGATAACCTCCAGACTTGGATTCAATCGGATTAAAAAGATTACTGTGATAACTTGTGTTGACTACATCCTTACTTTTATCATCTTTTAGACTATTTATTTTAGAGATCCAACTTACAATATTGTAGGTGGGAGTTTGATGATAAAAAGATTTTATGGATTGATATATTAGTGTTTAATTTTAAAGGACCAACAAATAGAACCGTTGTTAAAAGGTTGTTTTTTTTATCATAAAGAATTGGTCTACTTTTGAGAATACAAATAACTTTGTAAATTGTATTTTCTATTCTACAATAAGTAATTAGGAAAATATAAATGATTGTGTTTCCTGGATGTGATAGATTGATGTATTTTTTTATATCGCTTTCATTTGTGATCTGATCCAAATTGAATGCAGATTTAAAACTACTCAATCATGAGCAATGCATGTATTAAGAAGACACTATGATGGAATTCCCATCTTAATGCTGGGAGATCCTGGTAAGCTATATTTGGAAACTTGAGAAAGATGAATTCATGTGTTAATATTCAATCTATTATCTGACCTGGACCTGTCTCCAAATCAATAAATGTACAACTGTTAGGCCTATACTGTCCAACATGGACTTAAAATAACACATGGAGAATTTAACATAGTTAGGGTGGCCCACGCACCTACAGAAATACAGTCCACCGCTGATAGTTCGAGACTACCAATGAAGCGTGCACATTCGCCGTGTCGAGGCCAACTTTCTGACAGTATGATACTATAAATAGCCATGGCACGTGCAATTCTCTACAAATCTATCAACTATTACAGCCGTAAAAAAATTATTGTTGACGATTTTGAATAGCAGTGAAATTAAGCTTCTTGGTTATTACAGCAGATTTAGAAATTACGTTCGTTTCATTTTTTAAATCGCTTTATCATTAACTGTACCGTTAAGAGCGGCATCTTTTGGTTTAGTACAAATAATATCTCAGAAACACTCGGGTTAGACAGGAACATGATACTAGCAGTAGTTTCATTTTACTTTTACAAGCTTCTTAAAATAATTGTTGAGCTAGCTAACGTGCTCATTTCTAAATTCAATTTCTTGTTCTAGCTTTCTGTTATGTTTCGTAAAAAAGTAGTCTTGATTATCCCGACCTGTCAATCAGCCCTAGAATGGTCGATAGACTGGTTAAGCGAGACTAATTTCAAAACAAGGGCACGTAACCTATCTTTTACTCAAAAGTGTCTGGATGTTATGGACGACACATGGAACCAGTTTTCAGTCTATTATTTATAGATGATTAATGGTCATAGCTTATTAAGTACAACATGATCGTTTATTTAGTGACTATAATTGTGTGAAACTGATTTGAGGCTTGGCATATATGTAAATATTGTGGCGAAATTGTCGAGATATATGGAGATATTTATTTATGGTGGGTCACCCTAACATAGTCCTTATAAAACTCATATAATTGCTTGTGTACATTGTTTACGAGAAAATAGCGCAAACATGATATACGTGCAGGAACTTACAAATGACTAGCTAGAGGTTTTATTTCATGACATAACAAGATATTGGCCAATTTAAAGTTGTAATTTTTGTGGACTTGCATGAATTTCTTGACATATTCTAGTCTATCGCTGGGTGGTAGTAAATTTAGTAGGAATGGAGTTTAATATCTTACACTAGCTACCTGCTAGTTCCTCTCTCCAGGTATTTTGAAACTAACACATGTTTATTTCTTGAAAACAGCATTTACAAATAATATGGCATCTTTTACATGCACCTTGAAACATTGTTTTCCCATGCGAGTTACATGGTTAAATGTATACAAGAATTATAAAAATGCACATTAAACATATTTATATAATATACTGCAAGGTACAAAAAACTTATCAACATTAAAGTGCATAAAGCAGGGCTTATGTTGACTTGACAAATCAGAGCAATTGGCGTTTCGGCAACCGACTTCAACAGACTTTAACTGAAAATGGTCAAATTGAGCACCTCTTAGAACCCAAAGCAACTGTTTCTAGTCAGTTAAAGCCAGTTGCCCATGGTTAACTTTCTGCAACTCTAGCTGCAGTCAACATGAGCACTCTTGCAACTGACTTCATGTCCTTCCAATGGAAACAACATCACATGATCAGATAAATATGTCATGCCACTTTGTAAATAGACAAAATGGAAGGTAACGAAGGCATCAACTTTTCAAGTGTCAATAATATCGACAATAATGTAATAATGGAATTGTGGCAAGACAGACCATGCCTTTGGGCTGCATCTTATAATGCATTGGCCATTTTATTTATCATGTGATAGATAAATTAACAGTAAAGTGTTAAATGTAATCACAATCACTTCTGAGTCAAATAAGCGCTCCAAATTCAGTTGCGCTCAGTTGTTGATTTGAATAATATAAGTACACTTGCAACCAGTTGAAAGCAGTTGCTCCAGTTGCAAAGTCTACATAAGCCCCACTTAAGACACAAATAGAGTTATTATTACAAACAAACATAGTTATAAGAACATAAATGATTGATACAATGTTTTAATAACTTTCAACACTTGATTTGTATGAACTGATACTCAGCCTATATCGTAAATTGTTGTCGCCCCTATCCATCAGTCTGTCCGTCATCTGCAATATTTTAAAAACATTGTAGATACTACATTTATTATTCAGTCTTTTTGAAATTTATAATGTTGTTTACATTAGTGAGAGGAAGAAACCTATGAAAGTTCTGTGATCTCAATTAATAATTTGTTCAATTTGTGGAATCATTAGCCTACGTCACACCTTTTGGAACACACTAACTCTGTTTCTAATTGAGGTAGAATGTTCAAACTTTTTTAAGCAGTTCATTATATAAATGTCTTGACAGAGTTCGATGATGAGAATTTTCTTCTTAGGCTAAGCAATGCTTAAGAGTTTATTTGAGAATTTCGAACACAATAACTCTTTTAACTGAGGTAGGATGTTGTGGATGGTGTTGATGTTCATTACATGATTAGCCTTTTCTGCTTAGGTTATGGACAGATGGACACTTAGTCGATCTGTCTATGCTTTGGAACACAATAACTTTGATTCCAATTAAGTGAGAGTGATATTTTGGGATTGGGGGGAGGAGGGGGGTACATCAGTCTTGCTATTGGCTTGTTTATTTACCTAAAAATTCACAATGTGACAAACTTTATGGTTGTCCTGATCACTTATAATTAGTTACTATGGGTGTATGTTTTGTTGCTTATCAATCTATACTTTGATTATTGTTAAAATACAAATAAGCCTGTTGAATTGCATCAATTTTTAAAGTTATGGAGTTATTACGCTTGTTTTTATATTTTCTGATGGTTTCTCTTTCATTTTTCCTAAAAAATGAAAATGTAGCAACCTATTTTTATGCTTCTTGGCTTATTTAATTGTGCCCAAGGCATCAGATTGTCTTTTGAAAAACCTATCTTGTCATTTGGGAATGGTTAGGCACAGCCAGACTTGAATAGTTGATCAAATTATGATTATAGATTGGAAAAACACAAAAAACTTGTTCACATGACCTTAGCCATGTAAGAATGTCGACACAATTGTCTGCAAAATATTATTTGCCCTGGAACAAAATTACCCAACACTCAAGAAACTAGTGTGATGGAACCATTAAACATTGCATGTACAAGAGAAACAATTCTTTATTGTCTGTGAAAGAGCTGATTGGCAACAAACATAATAGAGATATCAAAGGAAATGTCTATGTAATAAACTAATGTTAAAACTATAAAACTTGTATACTCATGTATAATTAAATTATTTTGATATTTTAGGTGATGCGTGAGAGCTGAAAGAAACAAAATAATGAGGTTTTACCTAGGTGTATATATCCCTTGATCTGTTAACAATGAAGTATTTAACAGTACAATTATTGGTTGTATACCACTATTTCTTCATCATTGTTTCTAGTAAGTATAATTATGTTATTTATATGTAATAATAAATCAATATATACTATTACTATAGTTATTATTAGCACAGTAGATGACCGATCAAATTCAAGATGGCTATAAATGATGGTGTGATTGGTTTTTGCCGTCCAATTTTTATGGGACATTTGTAAGAGTATTGGTCAAATGTTGTTTGTATAATATTATCATATTAATGAAAAATAATTATTAAAAAAATTTGTTACAAATAAGCGTCTAGATGCAAAAGTACTATGACTCCGGGTAACCATTATACATATATTGCTAGTGGTGGTGGTACAATAAAAACTTCTCTAATTCATAATAAGAGAACAATATTCAGGATTAGATCCTCAGAAAAAGTTATCTTTGACTTTAGTCAACTCAATAGACAGTTTTTTCCACTTCCATTTGGTGCAAACAGAACCCATAATATCTTTCCATTTTTGTGCTTCATTCTTCCTTCCCTTGAACAACAACATCAGTTAGACTTTTGGATTAAATATTCTGTTCCCTCTATTTTAATTAACATGCAAATACAAAGTGAAGAGTTCATTTTAATATTTATCTATAATTGCTGTAATAGATAAGACATATTATTATTAAGCTAATGTGATGCTTTATTTATGCATGATTTTTATACACCCACATGTAGTTCTGTTGATTTTGAGCATTTTGGTAAAGGTATTTACAGAGAATAATGGCCACCGTCTGATTAACATACATTACTGTACTTGAACCAATCTCATTAAAATACAGATCTAAATTTCGTTTCGTTTTTTTATACTTTCGATGGCCTACACTATATGAAGATGTGACAAGTTATAGCGATAGGTCACGTCAGGGGTCAAACGATCGACTTTCGACCTTATGACGTCAGACATATGATTAACCAATCAGCATTGATGTTTTCTAGTGTATTACCCACAGTTCCGTGCAAAACACGCCTAAAGCTCGCCATAACAGACCATTTCATTGGCTTATCCCCGACACCATTCAGAACACGAGTTAAATAACAATTCTTCCAGATCCTAGTGTAGTAAAGACAAGTAAAACGAAATTTTGAACTATAAAAACGAAACGAAATAGGATCTGTGTTTTAACCAGATTGTACTTGTCCTCAATCTACAGAGTTCAATTCATTACAGATTGTTATCAAATTTTCAAAAATAGTTTGTACTGGGGTGAAAATGCAAGTACTGATTGATTTTGAGAGTTTGCAAAAGTAGTTCTGGAGAGTTATGGTCCTTCTCTGATAAGATTGTTGATAATTGTCAGTAAATCATTAAGATTTTGAACTTGTTTGATTTGATGGCCTTAACTGTGAAGACTGTCAACAACTGTAAACAGACAACAGGTCAAATTGGTAAACTGCACAAGGTATCCAACTTTTTGATAAAAAAGTCGTAATTGTGAACCCAGATAAATGTGATAGCTCTTTAGTCATTTTATGGTGTGATGATAATTTGAGTATAATAGGCTAGAACAAAATGTAATTAAGATTATATTAATATATATTTATGGCATAATTAATATTGACAGGACATTAGACTTCATTTCATCATGCCTCATTTGCATGCATATTATTATGGGATATTTATGTTGCTAAGTGGAGAGGTCAGGAGTTCATCCCATCTGCAACATATCAGTAGGTGCAGGAGGATCTAAATGTCTGCCATAATTAGCTGTTAAACTGTCAACTATAATTTAATGAAAGTTTGTTTAATTTCCAGGCATGTATTATCATTATTAGAGGAGTTGATCACACACATTATTCATTTATTTATGTCCCTGTGTCAAAAGATTAAGGTGTATTAGCTGCAGTTCCCTTCTAACTTTTTAACCTCTCTTGATGAACCTAATTTGATGAAACTATTAAACAGATAATTATATGTATTTTGATTTGATCACACATATAACATCTGTCTTAATACCATAAATAATTTATAATGTATTATTAAATTATGAAATAATGGAGGCATCTTGATGGCTATCATGTACAGTTAAGTTTGTTAGTATTGTAAGTGGTTAAAGTCACTGAATGCTCTGCCACCCAATCATAGGCATACAGGCAGACTTTCCTTTGTGGTGGGGGGGGACTGTATCTTGTTTGCCCGAACAAAAAAAAAGTGGCAGTGCCCGAAAAATGAACCTACATAACTTTACCACAAAATAACCGTAGTAAAATCTCGAAAAATTATGGCAAGTAGTGTCTAGTTGAGGGAATTTTCTGGAACTGCAGTTTCAGTTTGAGAACAAGATACCTTGAATTACGGTCAGAATTGTGTGATTTTCTGAAACACTAAGTATGCCTAAGCACCCAATGAACCAAAAAACCTACCAAAGTAAAATTGTGGTGTTTCCACTAGATTGAAGATATATTGTCTTCTAGATTTATGAGCATATTTCTATTTGAAATGTTGTATGGTGACAAGCATACTCGGTATTCCCAGTGGTATTGTTCCATTCTACTCCACTAACCCCTGGATCCATTCATGGGGTATTCACAAATTTAAATTATCTGCCCTTGATGATTTCATTGGCCACATAGGTTGCTTCTGTGAACCAATCAAAAAACAGATTACATACCAGTCTTAGCATCATTGTTTATGTTCACCACAATTCAGCAGCTTAATGTATGTTCGATTATGAGAAACTTTGCAAGAAATTTAATATCAAAGTATTTTGACAAAGTTTACAACAATGATTCAGCGATCTTAGATTCAATAAAATGCGAGTTACCTCCCTTTGCCCACTAGGTTCAAATTTATGGAATTGTTTGATTTGTCGATAAAAATAACACAATTATCAAGGTCAGATAATTTGACTGTGTCCCCGTGAATGGACCCAAGGGTTAGTGGAGTAGAACAGAATGATACCACTGGGAATACCAAGGATGGGTACCAAGTAAATACATTATTATATATATTACAATTCATTTTCTGTATATATCGAAATACAATTGGTTTAACCTGTCATCTTTTATGTTAGGCCTATCCACTATAGATATGGAGCATGCATCTTTAATTCGAGTATGTAATAAAACGGTCATTATTTTAACAAGGGACATAGTTTTTTGAATATTTTTGGATATAAGTTCAGCGAATTGACAAGAAATCTATATAAAATGCATGTTTGTCAAGCATCCATTGTAAAGGATAATACCTTTAAGTTGAAATTCATCAGAAGTATTTTTGCACAAGAGTTTTTTGGAACATGTTAAGATCATTTAGTAGTTGAGGCTTTTATATTGTTGCTCTCTTTGTACAATAAAAAAATAACTTGTTAGTTTCAAAACTCAGAATAAATTGGAAGTAAAGTAAAATGTTGCCAAATAATTTTACATGTGCAGAAACAATATAGGATGGTTGAAATTTTATAATTTAAAAGTTGGGCAAACCACCCGATTGTAGTCTGTGTATGTCTGTATATTAAACAAATATCATTAGAGTTAAACAACACTTCTTTAAGTACCGAGCTGTGGATATTTGGACAAAATGTCAATTGTTAGCAAAAGTTTAAACAGAGATCCACATTATTAAATGTTTCTAAAACGTTTTGTGGGTAATGTTTACTGAAAAACGTTGTTAGGAGGTTTCCTGTCTGGCCCAGCGTTTGATCATTATTTTCAGTACAAATGGTGGTGAGGACTTATTTAATTGTTCAATTGTCAGTATTGATTCTTCTCAATTCCTGCCAGTTCCACAAACGATAGTGAGACATTACATGAGAACGTTTGCAAAACATTCCATATTTGCATATTAGAAAAAAAGCTTGCTTCAGATGTGTTTTGATGTCTTTAAGTTGGTTGTAGTAGTAGGTCAATTGTTTTCATTGATTTCTCTTTATTCTAGAAATTTGTGTTATGAAATTGTCAGATCATAGATGCCAAAATGTTTAGCAAAGATTTTATCTTTTTTATTTTTTTTCCAATGATCTGAGATAAATTTGTCTAGGACATGATTCAATTAGTTAATTTCTTTTTTTTTGTCTACCGAAACGACATACATAAATTTTATAAAAAAAGACATGTTGAAAATAACTCGTAAAGTTGTTTGGATTTTAACTTGTGTTTTTAATATCAATTTGAGGGAATTTGAAGATGTTCTTGTCAAAATTATCCACTTCTGGAACTGAGAATCTGTCATTTTTTTTAGTTGTGAGTACTTCAAGTAGCGATATTGATGGTGTAGGTTTTGTACTTGCTTTCAAAGTTTCTAGTTAATTATTTTGCAGTACAAATTCTAGTTGGTCTTAAATTCAAAATATGCAATTGTTTGATTTTGAGGAATACTTCCATTGTGATTGGAACTTGTATTTTGACAACTAGTATTCTTCCAATGTGCTCAACTGGGTACCCGTCTTCATTAGCCCAGGTTAGGAGCAGAACAGTAGGATGTTAAACTCCATTTCATTTCATTTTCTCAACTGGGTAATACAGAATTGTCATACATATTGATAGAAAGAGGAGCCATTTTCCTAGCAGTCAAAAGCTAATTAGTAGATTAAAAAATAATAAGAATTTGAGTGATTAATAATTTACTAGAAAAAGTGTTGTTATAATTAATTTATCAAATAAATGTAATTAAGATGGATAATAGATAGAAATAAGGCATATCTTTTTGAAATCAATCCAGTAATGTCAGTGATTCATGAGCATGTGATCATGCAAACAAGTTCCCTCCATTATGCTTAGTCACTCTCAATTGGACATTGATGGAGCAATGTTAAATAAAAAAAAAAAGATGGTGCCTGTAACATAAAGCTGTTTAAAGTATTGGTAATCTATCAAAACATGGAAAGTGTGGAGTAACTCAATTTACTTCAAAGTACATGTTGGTTAGGTATTATTTTCATATTGATTCAATTTAAAGACCAGGAGCAACCCAAATGGAGACCTTTGAGAAATCTGTCAGTTGTCATTAAGTATCTTAGACTAAAACTTCACAGAGCTGCAATTTGAACATCTCAGATAGCAAGGATTTCCCAATAGATCAAAT